TAGAGACTCCAAAGGCACATTTGGCGGGGTTGAGCTTCATCCTGTATTCTTTTAAGATCTGGAATGATTATGGTAGATGCTCGATGTGGAGCTCTGCCTTCAATAATTTTACCAACATATCATCAATGTAGACCTCCATGGTCGTCCCAATCTGCTTTTTAAAAATTCGATTCATCAGTCGTTGGTAAGTGGCTCCAGCATTCTTCAATCTGAAAGGTATAACCTGGTAGTAGTACGTCCCTTACTCTGTCACAAATGAGGCCTTCTCTTGGTCATTAGGATCCATTCTAATTTGATTGTATCCAAAGAACGCATCCATAAAGCTGAGGAGCTCATGTCTAGTGGTGGCATCCACAATCAAGTCTATACGAGGAAAAAAACTATCTTTAGGATAGGCACAGTTGAGGTCAGTAAAATTGATACAGAATCACCACTTTCCATTAGTCTTCTTGACAAGGACCACATTTGCCAGCCAGGTAGGGTAGTCTACTTCTCTTATGGTTTTGGCATGAAGAAGTTTGCTAACCTCCTCATTGATTGTTTTTTGGCGCTCTGGGGCAAAACTTCTTTGCTTTTGTTTAACGGGTTTGGAAGTGAGATTCACACTGAGCTTATGTATAATGAATGAAATGTTGATGCCCTCCATATCTTCTTGCTTCCAGGAAAATACTCCTATATTTTCCTTCAGGAATTGAATGAGAAGGTCTTTAATTTCTTTGATTAGCTTAGACCCAACGTAGACAAGGTGTTCTGGTTCTTTGTCAAGCTGAACTAGTTCTAGCTCTTCCGATGGTGTTGGTCTAGTGCCCAGCTCGTCCCTCATGTCGAGCTCGTCCAGTTGAATATTTTTGACTTTTTTCCTCTTGACAGATGCCATGTAGCACTCCCATGCCACACGCTGGTCTCCTCGGACCATACCAACTCTATTTTTTGTAGGAAACTTCATAACCAAGTAGTAAGCAGAAGGTATAGCCCTCATTGAGTTGAGGGAAGGTCTCCCAAGCAGCATATTGTACGCTAAAGGTGCATTAACTACCAAGAATTTCATAGTCGTAGAGGTCTGACAAGGAGGGTCCCCAATTGTGAGCACAAGTTGTATTGATCCCAGGGGTAGTACTCTTTCTCCTGAGAACCTCAACAGGTGGGTATTTATTGACTTGAGATTTTCTCGACCTATTTTCATCTTATCAAACGCTGGCGCAAAGATGATGTCTGCAGAGCTCCCGTTGTCAATCAAAACTTGATAAACGATTCTGTTGGCAACAACCGCTCTTACCACCAAGGGATCATCATGGGGATGCTGGCAGCCTTCTAGATCTGAGTCTAAAAAAGTGATGGGTATGTCCAAATGTGGAGTCTTGGATACAGTATGCACTTTCAATGTCTCATTAGCTCGGATTCTGCGTAGGTGAGCTTTCCTAGCAGAGTTGGATTCCCCGCCTCCAGTGAATCTCCTAGATATCACTCTGATCTCTCCCAGAGGTTGTTGATGCTGCACAGGGGCCTATTGCTGAGGAGCTAGACTTGGTTGAGCTCGGTTTTGATTGTCAATAGCTACAAAATGTCTCAACTGCCCTCGTTGGATCAGAAACCCAATCTCTTTCTTTAGCTGGATGTAATCATCGATGTGATGGCCATGATCCCTGTGGTACTCACAGTACTTCATCGGATCTCTCTTTGCTAGATCTACCTTCATTCAAGGGGACCATCTTAAGAACTTCTCATTTTGCACCTTATATAGGATCTGGGACACTATGGCAGTAAGAGGAGTGAGCTGCCAAAGTGTATACCTCAGTTGTAACTTTGGCTGTGGAGGACCTAGGCGATCTCTGACATCTCTTTTTCTCTTGGGGGAGCAATCCATGTCTCTCCTTGGAGACCTATCTCATCCTTTTTCTTTCCTAGGACTTCGATCCCTCTTCTTTTCTTCCCTCACCTTTTCTTTTTGAGAAGATGATTTTCCTACCTTTGAGAGAAGGGCTTCCTCGCCATTAATATACTTTTTTGCCTTATCCAGCACCTCTGTCATGCTTGCCTGTGGGTTCTTTGATATTGAAAACATCAAATCCTTCGACTGCACTCGTAGTCCAGCAATAAAAGCAGTGATAGCAAACTTTTCATCTAAAACATCCACCTTCAGGGATTCTAAGTTGAACCTTTGGATATAAGACCGCAGGTTCTCATTGGGTCCCTGTTTTATGTTCAACAAGTGGTAACTTGGCTTTCAATAGGTCCGGACTCCTATGAAATGGGATACGAAAGATATGGAGAGCTCCTTGAAAAAAGAGATTGATGCTGGGGGAAGTCTGTTGAACCATGCAAGGGCTGAGCGTTTTAGCGTGATGGCGAAGGGTCAGCATCGTATAGGGTCCTGATATCCATGAAGTTCCATCTGATTTTTATAGGTATTGAGGTGGTCCATGAGATCTTTAGTCCCATCCAATGCCTCTATCTGGGGTATTCTAAACTTTGGAGGGAGGGAAAAATGCAATACCCTAGTAGTGAATGGGGACTCATTTTGCTGCACCAAAACATCCATTTCCATTGGGGTCTTACCCCTCACGACTTCCTTCATGTGGCTGAGCTCTTACTGGATGTCATGGAAGTGTTGCTCCTAGTATTGCTCTCTTCTTTCTTACTGGACCGAAAGAAAATCATTTTTCTCAATCCCTTCGTCCTGACTTTTTCCTTCTTCATTTTCACCATTTCTAGGAGGCGGAGGAGGGGCATGGCTATTCTCACCCCCTTCGTTGACTTCTTTAAAGGGGTTGAGGTGTCGATACTCTCCCGTGGGGGGCCTCCTTAGGCCGGTTTGGCCTGCTGAGGACCCTACAAGAGCTTCAAGAGTTCTTTGTTCTACCGAAGCAAACACTGGTTTACCAGGCAAAGAGCCTCCAACTCATTATTCGTTGGGGGATTGATCACAGGGGGATCAATTTCAACGGTGGGGATGAAATCCTGAAGGTCTTCATGCTGCCCTTCGCCGGTAGCTTCTTGTTGGTTTTGGATCCACGAGGGATTCATCTGATTTCTGCTCGTGTTGCGAGTTGATACCATCCGTTACTGAAGGATCAGCATTCTTGTAATGAGAACAGTTGTTCCCCTAGACGGCACCAAACTGATAGTGTAATTAGGCGGATGAGCAGAAAATACCTATCACATAAGCAAGTTTGAATCTAAGCTACAAAGCTCGTGAAGACTATGGAAAGATCCTTGAGGAATTGGGGTAACTTGCGTAGCGAAAGTATAGTGGTTCACCGAGCTCGGGAGCTCGACTAATCCACTCTTGAAGGGAGTCTCTTGCTCCTTGAATCTATATTCCAGTCGGCTGCAATTTACAGAGTAGTTCTGATAAACTAAGGTTCCTCCTCTACATTAGAGGTATTGTATAGTATTTATAGTCATGTTCCTATTACTAAGGGATCTTCAGTGAGATCCTAGCCCTTTATCTGCAGGATTTTCCTTGATTTTTGGAGGGGATCTCGGGTGGTTAAGAGTTTCCCTTTTCTCACCTCTTTTGCTCTTTCATCCGAGAGGAGCTTGAGACCTGGGCCTCTGAACTCTAGGCTTCTTATCTGACCTCATTGTCTAACCTCACTTCCCGAGCTCGTACTAAGTTAAAATTCTTTTCATGTATCATCAAATATGAACATAATTATACATTATTATGTGAAATGAATCAACTCTATAAGACTATAAATTGATTGTGTATGGATAAATAAATTTTAACATGACACACCCACAATATTGTTGGACGTGAGGTTGTTTTCTCATTAGCTCCTATGCATGGAGGTGGCAGAAGAGCAACCACCTAATTACAAAAAGATGAACTAGTGAAGAAGCAAGATGTAAGACAGAAGCAAGAGCCATCCAAAAATGTAAGGTCTTTTTTTTTGTCTCATTTATGTTTTTCTTCTCTCTTCTCTCATTTAATCGAACCGAACTTTATGAACTTAAACCTAAGCCTGTCGAACTCGTTTTTTTTAAACGAGCATAAAAAAATTTCCAAACTTGGTTTGTTTAGAATTCGAGCCCAGGCCAAACCCGAGTCGAGTTCAAGTAGCTCAACTATTTTACATATAAACGAACCGATCTTTACAAGCTTAAATGAGCCTAAAACATTATTTAAGTTTAAACTCGTTTAAAATACGAGTCGAGTTGAGTCAAGTCTTATCTTAATCGAGTTTGAGTCAAGTCTTATCCGAGTCGAACCCGAGCCGAATCTAAGTAGCTCGTATCGATTAACACCACTACTTCTCTCTACCAAACCATAATTTCTTGTGTAAACTAAATGCCCAAGTTTTGAACATCACACACAAACCAAAATGGATCAAAATTTCTTTCTTTCTTCCTTTTTCCATTTCTTTTTCTAGCTCCAACATAAAACTACATAAGATAGAATTCATTGCATGCAATTAAATGAAGATAAATGGATAGTCTAATACACGAGACTCTCATTATTACAAATTTTAGAAAAGATAAGACATGCAATCTTATCTTGCATGTGAAAAGATTGTTTTCATGACTTGAACCTTAACTAGGTCACAATAGATGAATTGCACAACGTAATGTAAGTAAGATCCTATGGTCTCTTGCTATCAAAAATTCAAGCGAGTCCGTAGCATTAATAACTCATAACACAACTCTAATTCTTCCATTTCTATGATTTTAATCTCTGAAAAACTTCATTAATACACCATCATGGTTCAGTCATCTACCTAAAATTAAAGCATCTATTATTGTAGCCATCTCAATGAAAGGAGGACCAAAACAAGAATAGAGAAAAGAAAAAAGGGGGTTGGTGATTAATCCTACGCTACATGAAATGTTGTTTGTATTTTTTAAAATTTTTTCTTTTTTTTTTTGAATTTGTTGGCCTTTTTGTGTATCATTTTTCGATATGGTGTTGCAACGCCGTACCGGATGTGTTTCCATCGATGGCCGATAATGCGACCTACTATGATGGTTTGAACGATTTAGTATTTATGAAGAACTTATACTTTGTTGATGTCTCCACCTCCACCAGGTAACCCTGATACCTCTCCGAAGCCACCATTACCAGTGGACGTTTTGCTTTGGTAGTCTCCGAATGTGGTGCAACTTCTCGGCCAATTATGCCACCTCATAAGCTTTGCTTTCACATGTTCCGGTAATCTCAATGTAAACCTATCTTCTTCTTCTTCTTTAGTCCTAGCTATTGAATGCCCTGTCGAGTGTGACCTCGGAAATTTTTCTACCTCATCGTGTCCTTCGACCCGTCCGGCTGTGCTCGGACCTCCTGCTATATCTCTCTTGCCACTGCCTCCTCTTTCGTCTTCATTGTCATCCCTAACATTGATGCTAAAAGTACCTTCCAATGACTCATTTTCATTTATGTATTGCATGGGATTGGGCCGATTGGCAATAGAAATCGGAGATTTCTCCGGTGAGGTGTTGAGTCTCATACGACAAACCGGACATGTTTTATGAGAATCAAGCCAAAGATCAATGCACTCTTGATGAAATACATGGCAACATGATGTCAAAAGCCGGAGAAAATTATCATCTTCAAACTCGCACAAGCAAATGGCACATTCTAAACCATACTTTTCCCTTCGAAAATCTTTAACATTCGAATATGGGAATGTGGGAAAAGACTTTATGATTGAAGGGTCAAGGCCAGTAGCTCCTGTAGATCCTGCCGGACTGGCCGGAGTGCCAGAATCACTATGTCTGATATGCCCCCTGTAGATTAGGTTGTGCATGATACACTTGCAGAAGTATATGAACAAGAAACCAATGAAGAAGAATAATAGGAGAATAACTGTAAGGATTACAGCCACTGGTGCGGAGTTGTACAATTCCGGCCGTGACGGGTGTTGGGCGGACTCCTTCGTCATTGCCGGAAAAAGGAGGCAAAAAATTGGTTGGTTGGCCGGAGAATGTGCAGTCCGGCCTTGGTACTTTTGTACGGATGAGAGCAAACCAAAGAAATAAAGAGAGGAAACGAACTTGCCCATTATAATGAAAAAAAGCAGGAGGGCATGAAAAGTGTTTATGTGAGCAAAAAAATGGTGGCTTAATATGGTATTGTTACGTGGCCAAGGTGGTTTCTCATCTATGGTCAGAATCAGAGCCATTGAGCGAGTCCTGGTGAGGAAGATGAGGAACTTTGTCCAGAGTAAATTGTTTTTTAGCCCTCATTTGACTTTCAAAATTATGCACATTATTTTTTTATAATTATATACCAAAGTGAAATCGTTAATTTTATCACCTAAGTTAATAGAGAATATGTTTCACATGCTTAAAACATCATGTGGGCTTTATTTCCATCATTTCCTTTCAAAAGAACACTGTTTAAGTGTCTAAAATGTCATTTATAATATATATGATATAATACCCAAATAACTAGAGCATTCTCCCCAAATCAAAAAACATGAAAGAGAAACATGAGTAAGTAATTTTAAGTTCCAAATCAAAAGCCTCAGTTGAGGAAAGAAGAGACTCCACATGTTGAAGAGTGGAAGGTTTTTGTTTTTGCCTTAATAGTGATTTTCGTATTACATGAGTAAATCAGATAAAAAATTTAATTTTATAATTTTATAATTTTGTTAACAGCGTCAATTATTTTATTTTGATACATAACTACAAGAGGATAATGTGGATAATTTTAAACGTCAAGAAAGTAAAGTAAGCTTAACCGAAACCACATGGAGATCAAAAAAATAATTATCTCTAAATTAAATAACATAAGGCTCGAATAACTGTACACCAACCTTTTTTAACATCTCAAACTAAGCAAGATTGCCCGTATTAACATAACTTGACCCAAATAAATTGTAACTGATAATTCAATAATTTTCGTATCTTGAAGTTCTTACAGAATTTGAGGATAGGGTTGGCATAAGTCATACGGTCTAATCTTGACAGCAGATTGTCATCATGCGATTGAGTTAGACCAAGCTGGATAGATGATGCGCTCAATAACTTCAGCGGAGCCGGCCCAACCTTTAGGCCATTACCTAGGGCCTAAATTGGAAAAAAAAATCGGGGTCCAAGATAAAATAAATAATGATATATTAGTAAAAGTGTAAAATATAATTTAAATACTTAATATATTTTAATTATTGAATTAATAGTGAGTGCTAACTTTAAACAAAATTCACTATTTATCTAATGTACTTGCTCCTCAACTTAAGTACAACTAGTATTATTTTGTAAAAAATTTTAGAACCTCTTTTAAAAGAATTTAGGGCCCTAAAGTTTAATTTGTTTTTTTAACTCTCCCGATTTTTATATTATATATATTATTATTTTGTCAGTCTTACTATTAAAATCAATTGTTTATCGTATAATAAGTACGAATAATAATTATATATTTATATAAATTAAATTTGAGTTCATTTTTTAATAATTTTGTTTACGATGCACAAGATGACTATAAAATATAATAAGTAGAAATAGTACACTAACTATATTTTTTATTTAAAAGTAGCACTTTTTCTCTATGATATCTAACTATTAGGGGTAACTTATATCTGAAGACACATTGCAATGTAAGTGAAAAATGATGGATTTAGGGGGGAATTCAATTTGAATAGTTTTGAGAGATGTTGATGACTGTTAAATAAGTCTATTTGAGACCGTTAGATGAGTTTATTGAAGTCTGTCATGTTTTATATTATTGATGTCTCATTTATTTAGGATTAATTAACTTGTATAAATTCTTATTTCTTTAGAAAAAAATTATTTTACTAGTCAAACTAATTTTCAATTATGTTTTTCTTTTATCTTAAACAAATAGTATGTATCATTGTATTTCATCTCTGTATTTGACTTCGATTAACAAAATTTTTAATTGTAAAATTTAAATTTAAATTTTGAATTAGATATCTCAAAAGGCAAAATAAATAATTAAAAATAAATATATTTTAATAAGTATTTAATATTACTATTATTACTGAATAAATATTTATAGGATTTCATATAACATTTTTTATCTAGACCCCAAATTAAGTTGGCCGCCCCGGAACTGCAGTGCACAAAAGGGAGATTATCTGCAACAAATAACACTCTGCACAACAAACTATCAGCTTTAAGCAGTAAATATGATCCAATGGCAAAACAAAAAAATTTAGCACAACAGGCTTTTATATTTGATAAAACCGGGTTATCTGGCGTTTTATATTTGGTAAAACAGAGAGATTACATAAGCAAAGTAAAGCCTCGAAAACCTGCAAAATAACCCTTGTACAGTCGTACATCAGTAACGGGCTTCAAACTATTATCCGAATCGTTTTTATTATTACAAAAGATTATATAAATATATATATTAAAAAATGCAAATTAAGACCAACAATAACACATAAACTAATAATCATGTATAAAAAAGTAATAATTACATATTTTATTATCAAAAAAAGACAGAAGAAAAATTTAAAGACTGAAAATTTAAAAAATAACATAATGGAGATCGATTAAATAGCTTCCTACTTAAAACACAAATCAAAATAATACTCTTAAACATCTAAAAAGTCTCAAATAAAATTTACTTAATAATAAGAAAAAATTGGAGCACATGAGTTAATTATCAACTCTTTTCCCTTTATCTTTTCACAATGTTCTCTCCTCTTACAAAATTACTATTTTGAATCTGATGCAGTTCGGAATAATGGAGCGGTGGCCTGCTATAACAAGTAGGTGGTTTGTCAATAGAGACAGGCATAGAAACATGTAAGGATGAAGCTTCCCGATTTTCGTCTCTCGCAATTGTAAAACTATCTGTATTGTCATCCTCCAAGAATTTTCATCACAAATCCTTCAATCTCACACTAGAATCATCTATATATGTGTGCTTTAAATTTATATCTCATTTCTTAAAAGGGTCATCTTTGTACCTTTCACTGAAACGTGATTGAAGATGAATATTTAAATGGATGAAAACCAATTTATCAGCTATGATAGAATTCAATCTGTTTCTCTTGACATTGTGAATAAATGAATACATGCTCTAATTTCTTTCAGTTAAAGGACTTGTAATTGGTCGTGATAACACCTTTTATGAAAAAATAATAAAACATATTAATAATGATAATTAACAATAGAAATAAATAACTTGTAATTTAAATTAGTATATTTTTCACCACATCTGCTAATTCCGAAGTTTCTGAACCATATGTCAACCACCAATCAATAGCATTCATGGTCACAGAATCTGTTTGAGCAGCAGCCATAGCATAAAGACTCTTTCGCGAGTGAAAATTTGTATATTTTTCTCGTAATTGTTTTGTTTCTTCTACATCTTATGCTATCTTTTCAAAAGCTTCCATAACACATATGACGACCTCCCTATCTTGATTTGGAGTTTTCCTAACTATACCTCCCGGTGCTAGCTTAGTAAGATATTGAGTATCATAAAATTGTGGTGTTAGTGCAAACTCAAGACAATGCAAAGGAATATTCATCTTCTTCCATCTGTCAAACACAATTTTTTCAATCTAGAAAAATTTATCAACGTGTTTTCCACCCCTCATAATATCTTTTATTTCATCAAGCATATTATCCATCTTTTCATAAATCTCACCCATTTTTTGATCTTCTCCATCACAAAATTTAATAAGAAAAAATATAGACTTTGTGATATTTATGATATTCTCCATATCCTCCTAAAATTCTTCACTAATAACGATTTCTGTAATCAAAGCACCTAAATCTCTTGTATGTTCATCCCCAAATTTTACCAATTTTTTCCATGACTTGAGAACAATGGTAATTGTAAAGAACTCTCCACAGTCAACAAGTTGCTTCAACAAAATATAATGCAATACAAACCTAGTGTTAGCCAATTTTAATAGCTCTAATTTAGAGTGAGCCCTACACATAGCTAAAGCAAGTGTATGGTTCAAGAAATAGACTTTCCCCTTCTATAAGTATTTCTAAACCACTCATATTCCTTTGCAAAGTTTTTAAAAATTAGATTCAGAGTATGAATAACACAATGAGACCTGTACCTTCTCCACCTTTTTCCCTACAAGTTTACAATTTGCTACATTATCGATTACTACTTAAATGATATTTAGTGGACCTACTTCTTTGATGGCCTTCAACAAAAAAATCAGCAATTGTTTTTACCTATTTTCTCTATCCTCGAAAAATCTTCAACATATAAAAACATAGCTCCACGACTATTTGCAACAATGATATTAATAAGTGGTTGATGCTTCACTAGTCCACCCATTGGATACAATGGATAACCCATTAGAATACCATGTATCTTTAATTGGAATCAAATCTTTTTTAACACTTCTTTTACACTCATCCAATAATGTAGTTCTTCCTTTTTCATAGCTGGGAGCCTTGTAACCTTTGGTTCTTCTATTTATAGCTGAAATCATCTCATTGATTTGAGAATTTTTCAACACTTTGAATGGGATTCCATTAACACACAATCCCCTCATGACCTTCAAGTCAACTATATCTCGATCCATTATTTTGAATGCATCTTCAATTGATCCTGTCGTCAATGAAGGTTGTCGCTTCATTAATGTAGAATTTTTCAAGGATGAAAAAATTCCTATTTTTTTTTTGCCTTTTGTATTTATTCTCGCACTTTTGCATATTCAGTCAAAATTATTCATCAACGCTTGACACCGTTTAATTTATGTTTTTTTCCCAGGTGGGGCACCAAAAAAGTGGTAATGTATTCGAGTATACGAACTTGTAAATTTACCACCGCAATGCTTACATGACCAACTCTTTGATCCCCCTGAATTTTTTCCTTGAGCTGCACCAATAAGATTGACTTCATTGAGTAATGGTTTTAATTTTTCATCAACTCGTAATTAATCTTCTTGTGTGTGATTTTTTTGTGGTTGTCTAGTGTTATCTTCTTCCATTACTTCAATATGTTCAACTTCTTGTTCATCAATAGAATTATCTAAATTCTGAATATTAATTCCGAATTGTTCTTCAACCTGAGAAAAGTCTTGTTCTTCCCTCCTTTTACCAAAAATTATTTTTTTAAGTAAAAAAAATTCAATACAGTAGAGAGATATTGAATGAATAATGGGTAAAAGAAAAAAGAGAGAGAGGTGGTATAGAGTTTAGGGTAAAAATCTGAAAAAATATATATATGGTTGCCAAGCTGCCTAGTTGTGTACAAAAAGTTGTAGTCTTTCAATAAGGCAGCTGCCTAATTGGTAGACTTACTAGTATTTTTACTCTTTTATCCAAAGTGTGTGATAACATGTCTTGTAAAATAAAGAATTTTTTTTGTCTTTTTACAAAAAAAAATACTAGGGTGTTGGACACGTTTTTATCTTTTTATATCTCAGTACGTTTTTTTTTTTTTTTGTCAGAGTCGGTTCTTTTAGTCAGAGTCGGCAGAAGAGAGAGAGAGAGAGAGAAACTTTGAAGCACAGAGAGAGAAAGAAAGAGACGGAGATCAACCGATCGATCGATCTGCGATATGCAAAGTCAACAAAGAGAGAGAGATATTTGTGATGGGAACTATAATTTGATCCGAAATGTGTACACCCAAGTGCAGGCAGTCAAGTTGTAGTTATAATCCGATTAAGTCCGAAGTTGAATCCATAGGAAACTAATGTTGGTGTTTTGAAGTAAATAATGACAGAGACCAAAGTGATTGGAATTCTTGAGATTTGAAGTTATGATATTTGTGAAATTTCTTGGATATAATATAAGATTCTCTCAAATGAAAGAGTCACCATTTAGCTCAAGGATCCAAACATGTAGTCAATCATCCAGTCGTTATACTTGTGCTTGAAAACTCAACTAACCTCTATATCAATAACAGATTAATTGGAGGACAAAGATGGACTGTGAAAATTAAGAGCATAGTTCCGATGTCTTTGTAGAGATTTACAAGAATTGTCAGTGCCGAAATTCAACCCGTCTATAAACAAGTAAGTATTTCTACAAGTCATCCAACCACTGTGACATTATTCCATTTTTAATTAAAGCACAATAATAGTGAAGATTAAAATATGGTCATGAAGATCTAGCTGGAATACTTGTAAAGAACTATGAATCCTCATATGCCAAGAGTCATCTTGTCTTAGAAATGACTCATGATGGTACAAAGTACCTTAACTTTGCTAGAAGCATTCAATCATTCAATAAGTAATCAAAAGATAAAACATTAAGCATAGATGAAATCAGAAACTACTAACTTTTCATGACTTTGATAAAGCTAAAAAAGTGAGTGATCTTCATCCCTTCAAGTAGAGGAGTTACAAGATAAAATACGCTACATAACAAGCCTATCTTCGACAAAGAATGAATGCATCACTACCCATCCTTTAAGGCTACAAGAGAGCTAGAAAGGTGAGAGAATTTCACTCCTCTAAGTGAAGAAATAAGCTTTTATAATGAAAGCTAATGAAACTAATAATAAAAGTAGAAGAAAGTTAGTTACTTTTGGAGGGTTTCTTCATCTTCCCAAAAAATGGATCCTTGCAAGCCTTAAAGGGGAGGTATTAATAGGCAAGGAGGAGGGGTAAAAATACAGATCCAAATGGTTAAAGTCCAAGTGAATGCTACAAAATCCGGATAAAAATCTAATCATACTGTAGTTTGTCTAGGGATTACGTTCGAACATAAATTGACATTCGAACGTTGAGTCCTATCTTCTTTAATGGGCGTCCGAACGGTGACTGGAATTTGAACGTAATACTCAATTGGCTTTTGTCCTCCACAATGAAGAACTGCAACATGCCACGTGTCATCACCCTATCAAGCTCTTGGGGTCCTCAATTATTTCAAAATGACATTCAAACGTAGATTGACATTCGAACGTGGCTGCTTTACTTTCTCCTTCTCCAATCATCTTCCAAAACACGTGGGTGTTACAAGAAAGTGTGATAATATTGACTTTAGGCCTTTGTACAACTTTTCCTTGAAAAGTCATCATTTAACTCTATCAAAGTATAATTACTCTTCTAAAAGTATAGAAAAATACTAATTTTCACTATTCATCAAACCACACCAATCTCAATCTGCGATATGCGTAGTCGACGGAGATGCAAAGTTTACGAAGATGCAAAATCAACAAATAGAGAGAGAGAGAGAGAGAGAGAGAGAGAACAATCGAGGCAAACAAACTAGATCCATAGCACTTTTCAATGTAGTAATCCGAAAAAATTTGTGGGATCCATTGGGTATGTAACCTAATCTTCATTCTTCACTCAATTTGGCCTATTATAACTTAATCTGTGCAATTTCTAATATTTACAATGATTTGGTTTAATATGAGTTTAGGACTTATATTAGGGATCTAAGTCTCTAAGTTTTAATTTAGTCTAATTTGATAGGGGTTAGAGATTTGAGCGGTCTAAGTCACGAACGACCCACATTTGGGGTCGCGCGACCCAGATCGGGGATCATAAAGGGGCATACGTTTTCTGGTAACCTTGCTCTACAAGGGATCATGATGTCCAAAAACTTGGAAACAAAAGCCAACTCAAGCTCCTCTTAATTCGAATCCTAGAACTACAAAGTTGCCTCTCTTCCACTTGAAGAGGGTATACTTGACTCCTCCCAAGTTGTTTCAATGAGTGCAGGCAAGGAATTTCGTGTTCTACTCGATGTCATCGATCCAGTCACCATATATTTTACTAATTTTGTCTGGACCCTTCCACTTCTGATGGGGTCTTTGCCCTACCTTCGGGATTACATTGGACAACCTCTGTGGTGGAACCCCAACATGATAACTGTCTAAGTGAGGAACTGAAGTGAGAGGTGGAACTGTATTATCACTTGAAGTTCTTGAAGGCAACAACATCCCCTGCTTTTGATCCAGAGAAGCAGAAAAATCTTTAACTTCCCCCTCCATTACACCCCCACCATAACGATGCAGTTCTGCAAAATAGATAATCAAGTTTTAATATTTATCTCATCAAATCAGAAATCACATTTGAACAAAGAACAGTCCACTACAGTGTCACGGCTTGAAGCCAAGCCAACCATATGATCTGAACGAATATAAGAGCTATGTTCTGCAATACTAAGGCCCAATGAAACGCATGTAATTGCTTGAAACCTTGTGATCTGAACATCAGAAGCATGCAATATATGTCTATATATCTTCAGAAAGCCAATGAGGCTCAAGCCTTAATTTGAAGTCTGCACCTCATTTTGGGCATCTTCATTTGCTACTTCATGAAACATGATTCGAGTCTTCACAGTTTGTGTATCACCTTGCCCCCTTTTATAAAATGGGGATTATGCAACCAAATGGTTATAGAACAACACCACACACGTGCACACATAGTGAGACTCATTCCATAATTAGATCTATCCCTAATTACATCCTTGGATGTAACCCGAAAATTCAGGTTACAATGGTTAAGCTGCCTGCCTTGCAATATTTCCAGTATACTATTCGTAACAATAGATCCACTCATGTCGTTTATAAAAACTGGTAATTCTTAAATTTTATCCAATCAGCAGTAAGCATAGGCACAAGCCTATAACTACAACAAATATATGTAATTTCTGATGATATCACTCTCCAAACTCTAAATGAAGAATGTAGCTACATCAATTTTGTGTATATGCTCTCCACGACATGTGTTCATGCATATAGAAGAAACAAGTAATATTAGATTCAACAAGTTGTGAAAAGGATATTTATAAGGTGAGTCCTTATGTGTTATGTGCCTGTTCTAGGTATCCATACACCAACACTTGCAAGGTGAATAAAATTTATGAACCCTTAATTGGCCCCACAATGAGATAATGGGTTTTGCACACACTTCTGACCAATCACAGAAGTTAAAAAATAAGAATATTTTTCTTTTGTTCAATCAACTTATCAAAAGAAGAAAAAGAAAAAGAATGTTGTTGTTCCAAAAGAAATCAAGTAATATTGAGATAATAAGATATAAGCATCTTGAAATCAAGTGTATCCAGTCCTAGGTCACATGCCCAACTTCCTCTGATGTTTAAATGCAAATGGAAATGGAGAATCATACCTGCAGACCCATGAGCAAAATGACATTTGCTTCCAAATGGGCAATACCCTGTCATCTCCCACTTGTTACAAATCCGTGTTTTCCAATTCGAAGGCTTCAGGTTTGATCCGCAGCTGCCACCACCTATCTGTCCACCACCTGGCCCAGGACCCAAACTTATGGCCACACTTTCCCGTGCTCTCGACTGTTCGTCATGGAGAAAAGTGCAATTATCTCCATATGGACAGCCCTCTTCAGTATAGAACTTCTTGCAATGTCTCCCTTTATAACACCTCTGAGTCTCCCCAACAAAACCAGATGCAAATGATGGAATCTGGAATTCTTCCCTCAGCTCAGATGACACTCCTCGTTCTTCCTCGTGGGCAGCCACAATTTCTTGCCAATTGGGAGGGGGTCTACGAAGTTCTTCAATACTATGCGCAAAATTACAGTTACTGATATATGGGCAAGTCCCCGCCTGGAATTTGCTGCATAGTTTGGTCTTAAAGAACATCTTTCCTATTGCTTTTGATCGATTACTAGACCCCGAATCCCCAGATTGGGAATTTCTTGATTTCTTGTTGGGCGGCTCGCTACCAGACCGGGATTGGGATTGCCATCCATCATAATTTGAATTGGAAACAGTATCAACTGAGGCCTCCCTATTCCAAGCCCTATAATCATCCTCAGTTGCCCAAACTGCCTGGTCAGTGGACCCTGGATCCCAATTCTCAACACCACCCTTTCCAGGGGTTCCAGGAACTATGCGAACCACATTTTCATTCGAAAACCCGGTTTCTCGACCGTCATCCATAACAAGATGAACCCCCCAGTCAAGATTTCTTACCAAAGCAAGAAAGATACACAAAGCTGAAGAAAGAAAACCATTGCATACAAAACCCTAACTTAAATTATAGTACTCAGAGCTCACACAAACAACAGCCGGAAAAACGATTGTCCAAGTTCGTGTTTTTCGGAGGAACAATGACAACTAGAGAGGCAAAGAAGCAAATCATAGAAACCAAACCCTAAGAATCAACTCAACAAATTAGTTATCATACGAACAAGACCCACATACACAGAACACTTCAATTTTGATCAATACGATATTAACTCTGAAATCCAAGAAATCTAAAAGATGGGTACTCCATGAAATCAAGAAATTTGAATTCTCATGACTTAAAAAAGCAAAGAGGGAAAATAACAACTTTGAACACCAAGAAGAACCACCAATACAACAGACACAAAAGCCCAAACAGATCGAGAAAAGTAATACCAAAATGGGTCAAAGGCTTAGATCGACTAAATCAAGAAAATTTAAATAAGATTCAACAAACCAACAAGAATAAATGAAAAGAGCATACATCCAAATTGAACAGCTGAACAGGCCGAGATGAAATCTCTTGTCTAATATACTAAAAGTGCAACTAGGAGTATGGAAAATGGGTATAAAAACATGTTATACTAATTTTACATGGATTGGGTTTGTTGAAATTGCTTGTTTGTAATTTCATGAGAAATGTGATTAATTGGGCATGTTATGTGTTTACATAATTTTGTGTCGTGTGGATGTTGATAAAATGTCTTAAATGATTTAAGTATGTTATTTGAATAAAATTAATATAACACGCTTTGATGATATGGGTTGTTATATTCTTATGATATAATTGACATTTGATGGAATTGGGAAATGTTAAAGACATTGAAATTGTTCATAATTTGCTCATGACATATTGAACATGTTATGATAACTGCAAAGTGTACATTAAATTTGCATATGTAGGGGAAGATTTGCATTCGTGGGCATGTAACATGAGTGTAGGTGTGCGGGCATGATTTGATCAAACACCATTCTTGGTTGGTTTATACGTGAGCTCGAGAAAGTTGAACCTAGGTTCTATTGAGTTGCATAGGTTGTATTGAAAACAAAGGTTGGGTGTAACAAGAAGGGACATATCATCCCTCAGGTGCAAAACCCAGTTATTTGGTTCACGCACTTGTCCTGTGATGAAATTCCAAAAAAGTGTGTAGGCGTATGCGGGAGCCTAGGTGAGATGTCCTTGAAATGCTGTGTGGGCTGGTAGTCCCTTGGTGGAAGTCTATAAAATACCCACCCAAGAAAGACCTGAGATTTTTTAAAATTGTCATTGGATGTTCAACATCAATGACCGGGACTTGGAATGCCCAGATGAATACGCATGACAGTGCACATAGTATGGGAGCAGGTGGAGGGCTCGGGTTCCATTGCATGAACAAGTATTATCTCATGATATGGCATGACGTTGTAAAATCCATTATGAATTGCATATTCTTGAATGGATGTTTAATTGAATGTTGAATGGTTTGTGAATATTTTATTTGCATATAGGTTAGGGAGTAGCCTCTTTAGGAGATCCCTTATTGAACGTGACTCACCCTTTATGGGAATAACATTTCAGGTGTGGAACAAGTTCTGGTGGACGGCCCTCACTTGGGCCCATGTTAACAAAGAAGTCGAGATATGACTTTAAATTAAATTTTGTAAAGCAGTTGTATAGTTTGTTTTGAACTTGTGAAATTGTGTAAAGAGTGTTGTAATGAACTCTTATGGACTATAAATTGTGTTAATGAATTTATGAATGTGTATGGGAAGAGATTGGATGGTTAAAGGTTGGAGATTGGAATGATTTGGAAAAATCTGGGCCCAGGTTCTAGTACCTAAGGGGTTAAGTATCGGTTCCACGTTGTTAGATAGCCTAGGTACCATTATCTCTACATACAGGTACTAGTACCTGGATTCTATTAGGCTCAAGTACCAGTACCAATGCTATAGGTACCAGTACCTTGATGGACAATGTGCATAGGTACTAGTAGTACGACATATAGGTACAGGTGCCTAGTAAATAGTAGCCTTAGGTACCGGTACCTAGGTGATTAAGTACTTGTACCTAGCAAATGAAAAGGACTTGGCAGATAGAAGGCTCAGGTACTGATACCAGGTGTAAGATGTACCGGCACCACTTCCACAAATTTTAAAAATTTAAATATAATCCTACCAAGCATTCTAATCTTGAGCCCTCTTACTTATATTATGGAATTGACCAAACATTAAGTACTAATTGATGGGGATGGACCTTGGAATGGTCAAGTGATATACATGTGCATAGGTTATGCGTTGGGAGTACTCTGATATAAGGAAGACTTTGCCTAAACTCTATTTTGGATATGATCTAAGTGAAGGAGATGTGATCACATGGTGTCGGGTTATACAACAGTCTTTGGTACTTTAGTGGGTTGATAGGTAATCAACAGATTGAAAAAGGACTCCCGGATTTGGGGTGTTATAGCTTGGTATCAAAGCCTAGATTCTCGATTTACCTAGGGCTTGTGGTACATGGGTCTAGGCCATTGCATACATTATGCATTTCATGTTAAATGTGCTAAATGCTATGTGCTATGTGATATGTGAATTCTATGCATCATTCTATGTGTATAAAAATGAAACACTAGAGTTAGAAAACATAACATTGAGGGTCGAAAAAGAAAGAATAGGAAGGTTCATGGTTAAAATGTCTACTAGTGGGTGGTATGCCTCCTACTAGTGAGACAAGGAGAGATTTCTCAATGTTTTGATTTTGATCCCTAACTTTGGGATACTAAGTTAGTGTTGTGTTGCTATCTTACATGTTGTAGATGGCAAGTAGAGGAAGAGGACACCAGAACGGTTGAGGGGGTGGACGAAACAATAACCAACCACCACCGGCCTTCGATCAACAAGCCTTTATGGAGGCTATAGGCACAATGGCGACTACCTTTGCACAAGCTAGAGCCAATGTGGTCCAAGGGGGCTCGAACAACCTCCAATGTGATGAAAGCCAAGGTGGGCCTATTCTTAAAGATCCTTTGCAAGTCTAGATGGGCCAATTACAAGATCAAGAAACAAATCCAACTTCAAGGGATTTAGTTCAAGTGCCAAGTGGGCCGGTTACGAGAGCACGAGCAAGGAAGTTTAAAGAGGTACTTAATGGACTAATTCAAGAGGCATGGAATCAAGCAAGTTTGTGGGGGCCCATTGACCATGATCCACTTGGGGATTCATCAAAGATTCAAGTTCTAGAAGAATCCAGCTAGGGGCTAAGGCTAAGATTCAATTGGTTTTTTTTGTTGTTAAGCCTTTCAATTTGTTTAAATAATTTTTATTATTAGTTTAGAATAAGTGGGTTTGAGGATGCTTAGCCCACATATGTCTTATTATTTTATTTGAACTAGGGTTTAAAATAAGTACTACAACATGGTACTGTTCATGCTACAGTAACCGTGACACTATTCACTCAAGGGCATTCTTGAGAGAAAGGGTCACAAATTTTAGTCTAGCCTATAAATAGGTGTTCTATCAATGAAATAGGGGAGACAATATACAATGAATTTTGATTGTGAGTTGAGTTGAGTTTACTCCTCTTGTTCTTGATTAACCTAGAACAATGAAGCCCTATAATCAATTATGCAAGAAATAAAATGATAGGATATGACCTGATTGGAAACCTTGCTTTGATACCAAATGATGTGAACCCCAATAGTCTTGCTTTGAGACCCAACAACAATATTGGAAATACAACCCAAGAAAGCCAAACTCAGGTCTATGGATGGAGAATCTAGACCCGTTGAGATCTTGTTTCAAGAACCTAGATTATATTAAAATCTAGACCCATTGAAGAACCCGTCTCAAGAACCCAAATTACAAGGAGGAACGCCACAAAGGTTGTGATTTACCTTTGATAAGTTCAAAAAGTTCAATCAAGAACAAGAGGAGTAAACTCAACTCAACTCACAATCAAAATTCATTGTATATTGTCTCCCCTATTTCATTGATAGAACACCTATTTATAGGCTAGCCATTACAAGGAAACAAATCCTAATCTACTAAGGAAACAAATCCTAATCTACTAAGGAAACAAATCCTAATCTAAATAGGAATAAATAAAGACTAAAATTTATAACCCTTTCTCTAAAAAATGCCCTTGAGTGAATGGTATCACGAGTACTATAGCATGAACAGTACCATGCTATAATAATTATTCTAAATCCTAGTTCAAATAAAATAATAATACATATGTGGGCTAAGATCTAAACTAATAATAAAAATTATTTAAACAAATTGAAAGGCTTAACAAAAAAAACCAATTGAATCTTAGCCTTAGCCCCTAGCTGGATTCTTCTAGAACTTGAATCAAGTGGATCAAAATTGGTTCTCCTTCTTTCAAGCCCATCTTGAGTGTTGGGCTCTTGCTAGCTTCATCCCAAGCGGATTCACCAATCCTTGCATTGCTTTCTTGATCTTGTAATTGGCCCATCTAGACTTGCAAAGGATCTTTAAGAATAGGCCCACCTTGGCTTTCATCACAATGATTTAAGACACACAAGGCACCTACTTTCATGAGAGGGATGGATCCGATGGCGGTCGACCATTGGTTCCAACAAATAGAAAAGATCTTGGAGGTCATGGAGATCACATTTGATGCCACTAAGATATGATTAGTGTCCTTTTAGCTTGAGGGAGAGGCCCATCTATGGTGGATTTATGTGAAGGCCTCGAAGAATCTTGAGGCAATGACATGGGAATAGTTCCATGAGCTCTGCATGAACCAATATTTCTTGTCGACTGTTGGACAAGTGAAGGCCTTAGAATTCATAGACTTGAAATAAGGAAACATGACGATGATGGAGTATGTGGCCAAGTTTACCGAACTAGCCATTTTGTTGCCAATTATGTGGCTATAGACTTGGCCAAAGTTAGGAGGTTTGAGGATGGCTTCAAGTTGTCCATTCAGGGAAAGA